GTACCCTTCCGCAAAGCTCGGTGCCGTGCATCATGCATTGCTGTGCAGATGCTTATGCTAATCTCATCATTAAGGTCGATCAACTGCAGTTAACAGGTAATTCGGCCACACCCACCGATACTTAACCCATTGTTGCATGATAGCGCGTAGTGAAGAACCGCACGCGTTAATTATTTCACCTAGCCACTATTAACCACAACCGAACACACATAGACACCGCCAAGTCTAGGTCACACCAAATGAAGTTAACGGACCTGCCTGGTCGCATGCATGTAGCCAGTTTCAGTGACGGCAATCGATACTGTCTCATTGTAGAGTACATTTCATGGCCGGTCGTCTGCGCGTAAGTGAGCACTTTGAACGCGGATGGCCGCCCAGTTCTGTGTTGTGTGTTGATGCCGCGTAAGTGGGTGGGAGTTGTAGTAATTCCTCAACCGTCCATAGATACCGCGTGCTGGCCCGCACCTATTCTACGGTGGATGAGCACACGGGTTTTTTGCGCGTCCGCGTGTGCAGCACGTGGTTTGTTGGCTGAGCGCAGTCTAACCGCTGCACCAACCGATGCAGATGTTCTGAGTATTCCTGTACTGATTTGCAATTGGTCAAGAAGATGGATTCAACTTGATGTGCATATGAATTGAGTTGAATATTCTTAAGGAGGAGCTTGATTCCGTTATGGATTGACTTTAGTCGTAAAAGGTATAGATCTCATCAAGACGTATATAAGACAACTTAAGTGGAACCAGCAGAATACGGTCGCGTACACTTCCGTTCACGTGCACTTGTCCCGACGCAGCCGTCGTCGGAAATGCAAGGCTAATTGGGTTCACCCCCCTCATGCAAGCACATAACTGTCTGTCCTTTTTACCTGTACAATAGTATTTTTTTATTAGTGCTTAGTCTCCTGATTTTTGCAACTAAATAATTGGCACTAATATTTGCTTTACTTTTATTTTATTCCTTTCATTACGTGTACCTGCAATATATTGCAGTTTGAGTAGTCATACTACCTTTGCGGGGCGGTATTTTATCAGGTAACTTGCCAATTATAATCAGTCCAGTTCACTTGAGGTAACCTACTCACCACCCCGTGAACACCATTCTGATGAAGCAAATGTGTGGGTGTCACCGTTACTCTGTAGTGGTTAACACATACATTCATTAAGCACGCGCCTAAAAGTGCAATGTTCCGAGTCAGTTTGCTCAGAAACGCTAGAATAGCAGCTGGAAGAATCGATGAGTAATATAGCACTTATGCACTAAACATTCTGACGTTTTATGGTGGAGGCTCCACACCTGAAACGTGAAAAGGAACAATTAGCTGGAAATCTGCACAGACACATTTTTAAGCAAATAAGAAAAAACAGCTCAGACACATTCAAGTTGATCCAATGCATGCAGTTGACGATTCATCGTGAACGTGAACACACCATAGCATTGTGGAAGCAGAATTTCATGGTACCGAGAAAATTATCCCATGCCGCTTTTCAGTTTAGAAAGCCGGTGTAAAGACACCCTCGACCGTAGGAAGCACGGTCTTTAGATCAAGGAATATTCATGGAAGGCGGCCGGTAAGCATGGCATCAGTGGAAAACTGTACACTTTCCAATCCAGATGGCTGTCACATGTCCACATAGATTAGATGCAGATTTTATTTTACTTGTTATCGGGCACTAGTTTTAAAAACTCACTCAATCTCTGTTGATTTTCTTGAAATGTACAGTGGGTCGATAGTGCATGGGTTATGTTGTTGAATGTGGGTACCTGATAGAAGTTGTAAAACGAGGTATGGATAAGTATGGTATGGTTTTATCCATAGCGCATTGAGCGAAGATTAGCAGCATTGCATTTTACATGACATTCATGCAAAACGGACTTAGACGGACGGCAACTACGTACTCAAGACTGTACTGTATGGATAGTTCCACTATTTGTGAAGCGCTATCAGAATGTAACCCCATGGACCCAGTGTAGTAACCACGATAACTACCGGTGGCAGAAGTCATGCATCAGCCAGTTACGAAGAAGTCTCTCCATCTCTGAGTATTAAACGTGCGACAGCCGGCGACAGGTCGGTATTGATTCTACAAAATCGGCTTTGCATGTTATAGGAATGTTCCCAAGAGATCGGCATTTCTAATACTTTATTAGTATCATTTGCTAGAGACATGGAGGTCAAAGCGTTTCCCCGTAAGCAAAGATCAATGAGTTATCAAGGTTAAATAAGCAAATGCCTAACAAGTGCCGTGGCATTATTAGGGAGAAAGGAACCTTTGTAAAGCCGTCGCTTTGACATTGCGCTCGAAGTCGGAAACAACGAATCGACTCTTGTGGACAGTACCCTGCTTGGACAAGTGACTGATCGAATTCGGATCTATGAGCACGGAATGAATTAATGGTCTAACGGTACTTCCGCACTGTACCCAGACTGACACAGTAACCACCCAACTACTCCTGACCTCGAAAGTTGACAATGGCCTTCCAAAACATTTGCTGCGGAAGCAAAACAGAAGATGGTGAAGATTACAGTGCACCTTAGACGGTTCCAAAGCCACGTATTTATATCACGGAAATCCTCGTTATCCCGAAGGGCGGTAAATTTAGTCCTCTGCCCTAGACCGAAGGTTGTAATTAGAGTGACGTCGTTACCACCTGACAAAGATATCACTAAGGGAATCACACATTCGGCGACCTGGCCACAGTGTCTCTTGTTAGGACCGGTAGAGTTGCCACCGGGTAGAGTTGTCACCGATAATTGCCAATTGACAACATTGCCGCGGAGAACACAACATGTTAGCCTTATTTGGCAATATGATTGGCAAATTAGAGGAAGGGAAATGTGTCCGGAACGACGTCTTGTGGAACCATGAGGTCTCCACAACTGCATACAAAAATGCATAATTAATCTAAGCGCCTACTGTATTAAACGTACTACAACAAAAGGATAGCGTGCAATGTTTCATGTTAAAATGCCAAAAATACGGGGAGCAGTTATAGATACCATCTTGTGAGAAAAGAAATACGCACACTAATATACCGTTTACTAATCTCCTTGTGTATAACTAAATTATTGATATTTAGTGCTATTCTACGGTAGCACACTAGATGTGACATAGTGATGGGGGTCAGGAGAAAAACTTCATCATCATTTCTGAAGATATCAGAGTTATGGGAGGCGACAAATCAGTTTGGGCGAAAGTTCAGGATTATCAATCTCAAATGCAAAACTAATTCCATCGAACTTCTAGAGGACTGTATCGTTCAGTTAATATCAATTCATTATTTCTGAGGGTGTTGTGGCACGCCAAAATGAGATCTCCGCATAGGCGTCGAAGATGTTCACCGGAAGCGCCCAGTGACTTCAGCTATTGCTAGTGAAAGAGGTTGCAGAGACCCTTAAACTTCTTTGTTGCTCTCCGTTGTAGTAACGCTAGCACCTTGTGGTGTCGTCTCAATCAAGGTGGTCAAGTTAGCATGAAAATTTCTTCGTGAGGACACACGTAAGTGTTATTCATCCTTGGGATATTTAAGTTGTCGAAAGTAGAACTCGTTCCGAAGCAAACCAGCGTTTCGGTTGTCAATTTTTCAGCTGCCACAGACTTTTGAACAGTTGTACTTGTTCCATATAAGCCCACCGAATTTGAGTTCCTGCGAAATGGTCAGTAAGCAGTGTGCCCCAAACCTATAAGTATGGGCATGCCTAAGAGGCAGTTAAACAAACCGGTCACGGGACCTACAGTTACTTTTATTTGAATGCTTCATCATAAGGGTTTAGAAATCGCACATGGAAGGGATGCTATTCAGACCAACTTCATCCTACAGAATGCAGGTTGAGTACTTGTGCACCAACTTAATGACATTCATGGCAGTTTAAAATTGTCCCATAAATTCGAGACTAATGACTGCCTACAGTGCCGGACCTTCTCATCAGTCGAAGAAATGCCTGGACGGCTATGCGCTCCGTATACCGGAAGCCAGCATGGTCTGGTCACCATTCGCAATCCACCAGTCTCGCACCGATGGGTCACAAGAATGCACTGGTAAAACTGTTCACTCGTGCTAGGCGGATTTTCTGGGGCAATTATCGGACTGAGGAGGTAGAGACTAATAGGAGAATACACACAAAAAACTTCTACCCTAAAAGCTTCATCAGGGAGCACTGCTAAGTAAGACCATTGAAAGAAACCGTGTTGTCAGTACCTGGGAGAAGGCATACCTCGAGCTCTCACTAATGAATAACGTAGTCATGAGAATAACCCAGCACGTAATCTCTGCCATTCAAAGAACTTATTTCTTTTCGCTGTCTGTACCGATTAGTAAAAGCAGCAAACTGTAGCTACCTTCAGTAAAACACGGTAATCTGGCAGTGCCTGTTCACGTAGTATTCACTGAATTAGTGTGACTACGGAATCATTGAGATAAACCAAACCGGCAGAGTGTTGAACGCCAGCGTGAAGCATCATCTATTCAACTGCATTCAAGATGAAGTTAACCAACCGTCGCCCAGCATCTGGTGATCAGGTAAACCGCCGGCATCATGAATAAAATGGCATATACGGATGACCTGTCATCAAATTGGCTGCAGTTTCGGCTTCCGAATCTTATTACTTCATGCTAACTCACGCCGCTCGTGGTTTATTGAGACCATTGCGAAAATCCGGCCAAAACCCGCCCTGTGTGTGCAAAACAATTAGTTGCTGAACTTCGGTTACCATAGTCCAAGTACCATGGTTACCGGTCATCTCACCACACTTGATTGGCTTGGCAACCCACCCCTGAACGTTATATGCAGCATATGTCGTTACTATATTTGTACCGACAAGTCAGTATGAAATGCGCGCATCTACCAATGTTCGCCTTCTCAGTGTGTTATCAGCGTTCGTACTGCAATTCTGTTTATTTATCCTACAAGATTTCAATACATGGGCAACGAAACTCTACCAGTTCAGGTGTGTAAAGCATAGTCTAAGTTGACTTGTACTAACTAGTATGAAACTCACATCAATCGTCGGACAATAGTCGCATAAAAGATCGTCTCCTCCGAAATAGGGTAATTCCTTAGCCGGAATTCCATCAATTTCTCGAAAGTGTTGAAACTCATCCGGTAGGGATTCGGACAGTCGCTTCAACTCGCATCTGCCGTATGCGTTGTCGTAAGGTATGCACTCCGTCTTACCATCGTAAGGTAAGTCACACCAAGGGTCAATTGGTTGATTCCTGAAACGGAACGTTGTTTTATGAATGGCACTGTACGTAGAGAAAATATCAGGGGGAATTTGTCAGTCAAAAAGTAGGTGGATGCTAAATTCGATTTTTGCCTATTGTGAGAGTAACTGGATTTAGTTACTGGGCTACTGGACCCAAAAATGTGTCATGTTTTAATCAGACCGACCGTCGTAAGTATGGGTTAGACAAAGAAGTAATGGATGATGTTCAGTGGATCTAATTGAGTGTTAAGTATTAATGCAATACACTTGTCTGGTGGCTTTCTATGAATTCGAGGATGATAACAAGTAGTTCGCTTGACTACTCAGTTAACGTGCGCGTTTCTCATCAGCGGCACTTTTCGTCAAAGGGAATTTCGAAATACTGCGGCTTAATCCAGCGAACTTCGCGTGCTAATTCGATAACTAGACAGGATGACAAGATATGATAAGTGCATTTCTGATGTATCATAACTGTGTCGTGTAGCTATGGGTAATAAATAGGCTGCGCTTGTGATACAATATTAAATTTAGTTCGAATTCTTAAGCCGACATTGCATGAACATCACTGATTCCCCTTTTACTGATTCCGAACCAAGTCAAACAGCGTATTATCACTAGTGAACTTAACTTCGATATTAGGTGGGAAAATATTAACGCGGAATTCGTTGTCCAAACTGTAAAATGGTAACGGAAGTAATATATATCAAACCGTAAGACGGATCAGACCAAGACAACTACGTGTCCAGCGGGAGTCGAAGTAAGGGGGTTTATTGTTATCTTTCAATGACAGGTGCCCACAGAATGTTCGAAACAGTAAAAGACTACTGACTTCCTATTTAGAAGCATATCAGCAGCGCATTCTAAGTTCGGTTGGTAGCTTGAGAGCACAGCTTGCTCATGCTCGCCGAGGATGTCGTCACGAGTCAACTTGCATAACGACTGTAGACATTTTGGAACTACCTGCAGGTGGCTAACTGTTATGAACTGCATATAATCCGATAATATATCGAGGTTCAATTTAGTTGTCCTGCATTTCGGTAAGCATGCTTCCGTCTTTTGTTTTGACCTACTTCTATACTTTTCGGAATGAAATGCAAGCTTAGGTGCAGGAGCGCCACATGGAAAAATGAGAGTTTGCTAGCAAAAGCTACCAAAAACATGAACACCGTTTACGAGCCTTAACTGACTGCTGAGATTACCGGCAAAGTCCGCAAACTCGTAAAGGTGGCATGACTCGAGGCAAAAGCTTCAAACCCGTTTTTCAAAAACTTGCATAGCTGACATTAACATCCTACTCAGTCAGCTTGCCCGACGAACCCAATGCAAACCGCTTTTAAGGATCAGCGTAAGTCTCTTCATCCTTCATCAGAGAAATTTGTGAAAGAATTAATCGGACTTGAAATTTTATTTTTATTATAACGTACCAGCTCACCTTGGTATTATGAAGTATGCATTGGTTAACACATGTAGTACAAATAACAGACTCACATCTTATACGTCTAAGGAAAGTAATCTTCGAGTACGCGCGTCTAAGCCTGCAGAAAATTGCTAAGGGGTGTTGTGTGCTAGACTACTCAAGTCACCTGCCGGCTTCCCTTCAGCGGTACATTTCGTCAACGGGACTTTCGAAATACTGTGGCTAAAAGCCAGCGAACTTTGCGTGTCAATTCGTGTCAACTTGTATAGCGACGCTAAACGTTTGGGAAATACTTGAACATGTCTAACTGTGATGAACTACGTGCAATCCGATAATATACCAAGGCTCATTTTAGCTGTCCTGCATTTGGGTAAGCATGCTTCAGTCTTTTCTTATGCGCTATTTTCAAACTTTACGGAATGAAATGCAAAGGTATATTACTTTTGATATAACGTACCAGTTCACCTTGGTGCTGTGAAGTACACATTGCTTAACACATGTAGTACAAATAACACAGATTCACATCGTACGTCTAAGGAAATTATGCGCGTCTACGCCTTCTGAACTTCGCTAAGGCTATGCCTAACAATTCAGTTGCAGAAGAAGTTTCCTTGCTACAAACATTGAGTTTAATAACATCATGCTCAAAGTTTATTAAAGCCCTCTTTACAAGGAAACGTAGATCAAACGGGCTCGATCCTAGGATAAAGCGGCTCCCTGTAATATTAATAACAGTAAAGCAAATATGGAATTTAACGACCAACATATTGTGGATTCGGACACATCCAAGCGCAGAAGTATTTTCTAACCTTTAATCTCTGACTATTCTACGGCTCAGAATTAAAATTTCCACACAAATTTCTGTTTAACAGCAATATGATGGGATGAATGTGACGCGCCACTAAATAAAGTAATTGCCTCTTCCTTTTGCAGAGGACCATTTCCACTTCATGAAGCTCATTCAGCTCAAAGAGTTCGTTCGATCTCTTCATACGATGGCAAAAACAGCGACCAAGACCACGAATTCGGAATCACATTAACAAATTTACTCACCATGTATACTTACACATACTTCAGCGTGGCTTTCACATACACCTGGTTGGTGGCATCCATTTTCTCATTTGCCTATCACTGCATCCTCCACGGGGACAGTCGCAGTACGCCTGCGCCTTCAGAGAGACCATGGTTGGCTTGCGCTGCACCACCCACAGCTCCATATATACACCTCATATCCAGTGTATAGACGAAGGAATAAGACTGAGAGACACGTAGATAGGGGCCAGGATTCATTAACGGAGCCGGCCGACACTCCTTCACAGGCAAACACAAGCACGCCGTGTTTGGGGAAACAAGCACACAAAGGACGGTGGTTAGGACGCAGTCCGTTCCACAAACAAACCATGTACATAGGACCACACTGTGAGCCTTGCACGGTCACGAGGACCGCGCACCCCATCCCTCAAGCAACGACCAACGGTCTTCTGGTGCCAGTATAGACGAGGTGGTGGGTAATAGACAGATAGGCAGCTTGTCCACATGCACATCAAGCGTAACCACACTGGGGGTGTCAAGAAACAGCCAATCACTTTGAGTAACGATATCAAATAAAACAAATCTGATAAGGCGTAAGTAAATGCCCGCTTCACTATGTTAACTTATATGGTTGGCGGCATCCGGTTTCGGATTCGTCTGTCACTGTGGCCAGCCACAAGACGCCTGCAGCTAGAGAGGAACCATGGATGGCTTGCGCTGCACCACCCACAGCTCCATCCACACACTCCATATCCAGTGTAAACCCGTAGGAATAAGACCGGGAGGCATGCGGATGGGAGCCACGTTTCGTCAACGGAGCCGGACCACATTCCATCACAAGCAAACACAAGCACGCTGTATTTGGGGAATCAAGTGCACACAAGCATGTGCTTGGACTGTAGTCCGCTCCACACTGACTGCATGGAACCGCTCTTCGAGCATAGCACGACCACAAGGACCGTGCATCCCGTCCACTCTTGCAGCGACCAACTGTCTCCTGGAGCCAGTATGGACGAGGTAGTGGGTAATAGACAGGTAGGCACCTTGTCAACATGCACATCAAGCGCAGCCACCCCTGGGATGTCAAACAACAGCCAATCATTCGAAATGCCAATATCATTTAAAAGATATCGAATAAAGTAAACCTATATGACGACATGAATACTCGCTAAATTAGCATATGGAATAAATTGGTTACAAGCGAATCCGCGAAAAGTACAAAACGTCCGAAACTTATTTAAAAATTACCACGTGATCAAGTTACGCAAGTTTACCACAATTAGCATGAGCGCCGTGTGCAAATTAGAAGATTATCAAGTACGCAGTGCAAACCAAATAAACTGGAGTGAATTATAAAAGCTGAATTTAAGGAGCACGCTGTGTGGTTGTGTTGCGACTCGTAGCCTCTATGGAGACCTCCGCTCACTCTGAGGTAAACCTCGGTCATTCCGTTCTCGAGGACCATATCCTGAATGGATATATTTGGGTGTTGCTCTTCCTATCACTGGCACCCCATGACCGTGGTTTCGTCTTGGTTTAGACGCATCAGGTGGAGATAGCCTGAGCTAGGGTGGAACTCAGAGCTTAGTAGTTAATGCCTGACGTCCTGAACAATATGCTACTAAGATCCTCGAGCAACGCTTGGCACAGCGGAAAGTAATTCAAAGCTGAATTTAGGGAGCACATTAAAAAGACCTAGTTTAAGTGTAAGTTGATTTAGCCCAACTGCGGTGAAGATGCACCATAAATGCTACATCAGCCTCAGCATGGGGCACAAGTTGACATATATAATAAACTCGTTATCAACATATTCGCGATAAACTCAAGATGGCAAGAAAAGAGTTCAAACGTGCATAAAATTAATGAAATTAACCACTTTTCCCTTAAACGACCTGCAATAAGGTAACAGTGTGTATTAACAAAATATAGCAAACCGACCTACTGCAACAAAGCAACTCGGCACGCAAGCACGCCGTTAGCAAATCGGATGCAGCGTACCTATCAACACTGCGCCCGCTATACTTATGTTCTTAGTATCCCCCGTCATCTTTTTGTTGCTGGTCACAAGTGGCCTCCCTAGTGGCGCATTGGGCCCACCTGACTCAGGCACTCGCGACCGCATGTGCTACAATTCCATGCGCTCGATGTCGATGGAGTAGACACCATCGGCGCATGTCACTACCGCACTGACCGATTTTTCTCCGCATGCACGAGAGCTTTCTCTTGCACCTCGGCAACTGTGTTGTCATCAAACCGCGCCATGGCTGCCGAGCAACCGCCTTCGATTCCCAAAAGCTTAAATCAACATTAGAGCGTGATTGACTCTCTTTGATCATGTCCTAGTGACGTAAATTCGTTTTTCCCACTTGACGATTGCCTGCAGGTAGTTGTCCATAAAGAAGTTGTTTCAGCATACATTTAGTATACATGCGGCGAGTACGCTTGAGCCACCTAAAGCGCCTCAGTATAATTATGCAGTCCACTGCATACACAGCAATGCGTCGGAACCCCGCCATGCCTGTAACTAGGTCACTCCATGCGATGCGCATAAGACTGCGCAG